CCAGACGTATAAAATTTTGGCGTGAAAACTTAATCCTGTTGAATAAGATTAGGAAGGGAAAAAAATTTTGACTTTAAAAAAAAGGGGGAAATAAATAAAAAATTAAAATAAGCAGAATTAGAAAAACAAACGTAGATAAGGGAAAAGTTGTATTTAAATAAATTGAAAATAAAAAGAGGATTTTTTTTCCCTTTTCTGATGTTTATCTTTCCATCAAAGGGAATAATGTTTTGATAAGACGGCATGAACAGAATTGTCAAAAACAGAAGGTAGAAGTCTCATAACTAGAGGAAAAAAAATGCTTTTAAAAATAGCAAATAATGTCCTTTAAAATATCAAAAAATGTCCTTAAAAATCTTTTGCAACTTAACAAAAATTTCAATCAAAAAAGTCGATCAAAAAAAAAAAAAAAACAGAGATATCACCGCGTCAAAAAATGAAATAAATGAAACGAATTACGAGGACCGATACCGTAGACTCTCGGTGCATACGCAGGTTAATCGAAGTGGTCACCCATCCGCTTACTGACCGTAGGCAGTGATGCTTGACTTTGGAGTTCTACTGGGACTCGTGTCTTCACGATCGGTCGCCTGCGAGACTGGCCGCGATATTGAGCACGTTGAACAGTAATTACTGTCGTCATATCAATTACGACAAATTATTAAAATTATACAAATTAATTAAAAATTAATGCAATCTAATTGTAGTAAAATAAAAAATAAGAGGCAAATGTGTCACAATGTTTATATCTTCTTTGTTAGAAGCGGCGCGCCGTAAGATCTAAAGACCAGATGGAGATGAACTAGTATCTCAACATAGTCTTGATTTAAATGGGAATTCGGCATCTTTAAGATATTTTACTGCGCGGTGTGGATTCATTTTATAAATAAAGATTTCATCGCTATTCAACGGAACTTGATATATACGCGAAGAGCTAAGTTAAGTAGGTGAAAGAGAAATTTAGTGTTCTCAGAAACCAGATAAGCTTATCTCCAGATAAGATATAATTCTTTTTAAGTTTAGTCTCATAAGATCCTTTTAATTTTATCAAGCTAGTATTTTAGATATTACAAATATATTTACAAAACGAAATTTTAAAATTTTCTTAACATTACCAAAATAAACAAAACGGAGCTTGTTCCAAAATTAAATTATGACGTAGTAGGTAAACTTTCGGTGGACGGTTTTCTTCCACGAATTTGCATTACCCTGCTACATTGGCAGTAAATAAGTATGCTAATGGTTTAATTTGAAGTGAATATTTACACTACTGCTACTGAATTTGATTTTTAGATTAAAGAATTAATTGAAAGAAAGGAGAGGAAAAAAATACCACAGAATTTAATCAGCGAGTAGAAAAAGAGAGAAAAAGTAATTGCGATAACGAAATTCCGTGATGGCAATTAATTATTTTTTTCTCCTCTTACACAAAAAACGGAAAAACAGGAAAGAACGCAAGTCACGTGAAAATTAATTTCCGCCGATAGTTTTTTTTCCCTACCCTCCCGAGAGGAAAAGGCGAGAAGAAATTTTTTTTTTCTGTTTAATTCAAAAGGTTTCTCAAAAAAAAAAATTTTTTTTATCACCTCTTCTCCCACAAGTTTAGAGTAATAATGAATGCAAAATTAAAAATGCGTTCAGGTAGACATTACCACGAACATTAATTCGCATTTCATTTAGGTAAACCTATTTTCACACTTTCGTTTTTAATAAGTATAAAAACAGTACTATTAGAATAATAATGAATAAACGAATTAAATTTATGCTAAAAAGTTATAAATAACTTTAAATAGAAACTAATTAAAGATTTTTATATTTTTCTAAAAAATAAATTAAAACCTCTTTTAGAATAATTAGAAAACGAAAGTAGTTTTTTAAAAACATTATCCCTATTATTTTTAAATTCAAAACATTGCTGTATTTACTATTATACGCACACTAATTATTAGCTTATATGAGGAAAGAAAAATTTCGATTTTTTTTAAACCGTTAAATATTAACAGAATATATACATTTTTTTTTTAATTTATATTTTATTCAGTTATTTATTTATTTATTTTTTGCAGCCTGCGTATATTTACTGTTGAGCATTATTCGGTGAAATAAACAATATAAGCACCATGGTACACCCAGTCGATGTACCATTTCTTATAATCAGGTGATGCCGCCCCGCGATGGCTCAGGGGATAGAGCGTTCGCCTTCCACTGAGGCGAACCGGGTTCGATCCCCAGTCGATACGAATTCCGCATCCGACCACAGTGCTAACGTGAAATATCCTCAGTGGTAGACGAATCATGGGTTAGAGACCTCTTGCCGTCAGGCTAACCGTGGGAGGTTGTCGTGGTCTTCCTCTCCATGTAACGCAAATGAGGGTTAGCTCCATCAAAAAGTCCTCCACGAAGGCAAAATTTCTCCAAATACTCGATCCAGGAGTTCCCTTGTCTTCTGGATTGGGTTCAAAATTACAAGGTTACGGAGTTGAACATAAGTAGTCGTAAACCCATAAAATTGGGTTTACGATTGTTATAAAATAAAATATAAAAAATCAGGTGATTCATGGTAAAATCAATCAAAACAATAATGGTCAGAATAATTTTTGACAGAATTTTGTTTCGAAATTTAAATTCATCGTTGCGTAATACTACAGACACACCCTTACACTGGCAGTTAAATAGAAAAACTAAAATAAATGAAGGAATCACTCTATTCGCCATCTGGCGAAGTCATCTTTCACGTATAGCATTTTGGCAATGGACAACTAGTCAAATTTATATTTTGTGACGCAGTTAAGGTAACTGCTAAGTGAGCTTAAAACCAAAACGTAAATATTTTCCTCATCTTTGGTATAGTTTGTCTACCTTAAGAACTCCGCCACAAAGTCTGAGACTGTCTGCTGCTATGGAAACAAGAACAGTGCATTTCAGGGAGGGTAGCTTCTCTTCACTCTAGGGCTAGCGCGAAGAAAAATAATCGCTTTTCTCGCCGACTCGAGTCAAAATCTGTCCTAAACAGTAACCGCACACCCCTACTTGAAATAGTTATACCTCGTTACCATAGTCACCGCCACGGGTTCTGACGAATTCAAACGTAGAGGAGTTCTTACTTTACTTGCGATCAACGTATTTAATGAGGTAAACATAAACATTCAAACGGAAACAGTTGAGAGGCTTCACTCCGTTCACGCTGTGTATTGGGTACACAGAGGAGACTGGAATGGGCGGCTTGATTCTGACCATAGTAAATTAAAGCGCAAAAGTTTCAGAACAACTTAAATGGGCGGCAAGTTATAAGCTAAGCTTAATAGACTTGTTTAAGATGATTATTAAATTAAGCAAGATTATCATTATTTAATTATTAATTAAATCCGTGACCGTGAATAATTGTGAACGTGTCGAATTGCCGGTGCGCTGCAATATGCGGAAGAGGAATGGTTAAATGCCCGTGGAGAATTGGGAACGCGTCGAATTGCCCTCATTTCATATAATGAGAAAGAACTGCCAGTGTGCCGCAATTTGCGGAGGAATGGTTGAGTGCCCGTGAAGAATTGTGAACGCGTCGAATTGCCCTAATTTAATATAATGAGAAAGAACTGCCACTGTGCCGCAATATGCGGGGAATGGTTGAGTGCCCGTGAAGAATTGTGAACGCGACGAATTGCCCTCATTTCATATAATGAGAAAGAACTGCCGGTGCGCCGCAATTTGCGGAGGAATGGTTGAGTCCCCGTGAAGAATTGTTAACGCGTCGAATTGCCCTCATTTCATATAATGAGAAAGAACTGCCGGTGTGCCGCAATATGCGGGGGAATGGTTGAGTGCCCGTGGAGAATTGTGAACGCGTCGAATTGCCCTCATTTCATATAATGAGAAAGAACTGCCGGTGCGACGCAATTTGCGGAGGAATGGTTGAGTGCCCGTGAAGAATTGTGAACGCGTCGAATTGCCCTCATTTTATATGAGAAAGAACTGCCGGTGCGCCGCAATATGTGAAGGAATGATTGTTGGGTTGTATTACGTGAATCAAGTGATTTCTTTATTGTATTATGCAAATGGAATTGACGGGTTTTAAGTTAGGAACTCTCATTTTACCTTTTGGTTTTTTTACATTTTAGCTCAAAGATGGCGCTATAATCGCAAAATGAAAATGGGGTACAAATTACTCAAAATGAGATATCTCGAGAAATATATTTCAGATCAATAAAATAAAAATGGATGCGTTAAATATAAAAAAGGAAAAAAAACTATCTATAACAATATAGTGAAACAAAGAGATATAAATAAGAGCGTTGGTCCCACATTCCAAAAACTTCCCAAGCAAAAGAATCGCGATTCAAAGGCAGACCACATATGAGAAAAAAAATCGGGATATAAAAAAAAGAAGAAAAATCCACCATTTCTCGTTCTGAAGTCTTCCAAGTTATTCCGTTTTTATTCGACTCCCTATCCTTCAATCTCCAATAGATTCGATCTTAGGATAGGCCCTTGGGAATTAACCATTCTTTGGGAAACGAAAAAAAAAAGAAAGAAAAAAAGAATCTTTAATTCCACAAAAGAAAAAAAAAAGAAAAAACACAATAAAAAAAAATCATTTCTTTGTGGCAGATTTTCCTTCAACCCGATATATATATATACTTTTTTTTCTCCCAAAGCTATTAGCAAAGGTCGGGCAGTTTCTTGAGTTTACCCCTATCCCTCCTTCAAGTTCAGTTGCCCAGCAGGAAAGGATTAGAAGGGTCTAATGGGGAAGTCGATGTTCTAGAATAGACATCCAATAACGCTTTTGTATTGGAAAGAATGATGGGGTAATATTGGAAAAAAGGTAAATGAAACCTAACACAATAGGGAACACAACATATCTCCTTCAGTTTTATTAAAAGGAAGAAGGATGGAAGCAACCGTTTTTTCCCATTTGGGAGTCTAATCAAGTGGATACTCTCCCCTGGTGAGGTTTTATTGAGGGCAAAATATTGCGTAGATAAAGATTAATATTTACTGCAAACTTTGGAAAAACCGAGAAGCTATTTGTTCGAAATAAGGGATTCCTAGCCAACCTAAGTCGCTGCGTCTTTTGAAGTAGGTCACTAAAGCTAAAATAAAAATTATATTCAATCATCAGTTCCTTAAATAAAAATAAACATTTCGTAAGTTACAAAAATTACAATACATAATGTCCAATAGGAAAATGTAGGTTTAGTTTCGAAATATTATTAATATTTAGTTTATTAATACTATTATTTTTTTATTTTATTAAATCTCTTATTATTTATTCCTTATAATTTGGTTTTTGTCCTCTTAGTCCCTTTATTACTTCATCATATCGTTATTTAGAGTTCAATTATATTATCAATCAGTCTTTTAGTCCTGTCGGCCTAAAACCAACACGCTTGTTAATTTAGTAAATAACGACGGACCACCAGCTGCACTTTTTGTTTTTTATTAATAACAACAACATTACGTATAAACAACAACAACAGCTGGAGATATTGTGGATTTCGAAAGGGTTTAAGAGATATTTATCCACATCTAATGTTTATCGAGTCTCATAGGAGAAGTGATGATTTAATCTCGTCCCGCTAGGGAATGGCGCGCATGCGCCAACAAGTCCTATTATTATTTAATTAATTAATCCAATCATTTAGTGTATTAATTTTTCTATGATTGTATTGTTTTGTCCAATATATATATATAATCGCTCGACCTATTTGATAAACCAATTACAATTACTAAGATTTCCGTCTTTCCCTAAATTTAAACATTTTACGGATTTACTTTGCAAGATTTTCCCTAACATATAATCGAGAAGCACAACTTTTCGCGCAAACTTTCATGACTGCTCTCTGTCTAATAATTAATAAATAAATTTTGTACCCTCCTTCCCTGCCTAAGACCTGTTTTAATCCCTTCCACTCGGCAACGACGTTATATATATATATATAACGTCGCCACTTGACACCAAGGGGCCAATATTGGAATGCCTAGATTTTTTAATATTGGTCCTAGAATGGCCTATATTACCTGAGTAATGACTATAAAATATGGGGTAAATTATATGTAGGGCTAATACTGGTTGTAAAGCGGCTCTAAAATATTGGGAGAATCGGACAATTCTAGATGTCAATATTGGAAATAAATATATATAGTCCAATCATGTGATGATTTTTTAAAGTGCTGCCAGATAAAATAAAATAAAAACTATTACTAAAAGTGTTCAATTTGACTACCATGGTATTTTCACTGAAGGCAACAAAAACGTATCAAAATATTCCTAACACTAACAAGTGTAAAAAAAAACGTTAAATCTGGTTTACTTTGCGTTGATAATCACAAACATTCCCCCTACATTTATTCAATGTAGTAAACGTTATGAAATTCTCTCAACATAAAGAATAAAAAGCACGTTATGTTCTTGATCAAAGATTCCATGCGAAGCAAAAGAAACGTCAGCCGCATTTATGATTTAGACCTCGACTCCGTAGGATATGATGTAAACAAAACAGATGTTCTCACTGGCAATATTTTCCCAACAATACATAAATATTAGAAGAAACTTGGCTACCGGATTCAGCAAGGGCAAAAAAGATAGGACGGCAGCGTTCTATTTTAATGTCAGCAGTGAGCAAAGCTTAAATCCCTCACATCTGTTTCGTGACAGTTGACATCGTCTGTTAACGTTCAAGCATCAAGTTGTGGATGCAAAAATACACATAAAAAAAAAGGAATAGATATTTTGCAGACGATGTAACGCCCTTGCGCGTCTTGCTATTTCCTTATTCAGATGGGAAAAAATATATATATTTCTTTTCAGTCTAGCTGCGATCAAAAAAGGAGATCTAAGTATCGAATTGTATATTTTTCCAACCTGTATGTTGTATAAACAAGGGATGTGTGAAGAAAACATGTCTGTGTGAATAATTTACAATGAACATGAATTAAATCTTGAGCGAGTGGGTGTCGGTTGCATTGATAATATATTTTCTGTGATATATTTATTCTATACTATATGAGAGATTAAGTTATAAATAAGGCCCGGATTTTGATGACATTTTCATTTTTTTGCATTTTTGGACATTTTTTGTCTTTTAGAGCAGTTTTTTTAGATTTATAGGGCATTTTTCTTTAAATTTTGGGGCGTATTTTGCATTTTAATGCATTTTTTTAAAGTTTTTTGTTAATTTTTTCCAATTTTTATTATTTTTTATCAATTTTCATTATTGCACTGGCTTCCAAACAATGAAGAAAATCTACAGAATATTAACAGGTGAAGCAAAATCTTTTCAAATTGAAGAAGAATTGTTAGTAAGTGAGACCGTCTTTTTCCAGTACGCACCTATAACATCATTAGACGTTGAAAGAAGCTTCTGCAGGAATGAAAATTTACTTTCAGACAAGAGACGCTCGTTTACATTTCAAATTATCAAAAAACATTTAATAATCCAATGTAATTCTGATATTTAGTAATATTATGAGAAGGAAATTGTTATATCCATTAAAGTTTCTATACAAAATAAAAATATTTTGGTGTCAATATATTTTCCTTTTTTGTTATTTTAGGATATAAAACAAATTTTTCAAACTTTAATGAACGTAGAACATGTATTGCATTGCGTTATATTTTTTAAATGACTCATAATAATTTTAAAGAGCAAAACATTTCTTTAATTCAATAATTTAACTTTATTTAAGGCATTTTTTGCGCAATTTTTGGATTTTTAAGGGCATTTTTCGCCCTTTTTAAGGGCATTTTTTGCGTTTTTCAAGGGCATTAGTTGAGATTTTTTAGGTCATCAAAATCCGGGCTCTAGTTATAAATAACTTATGAATATAATAAAACAAGAATTAATAGGAGAAGTTGAATTTACATCTTAAAATGCTAGTAGGATGCTAATATATATATAAAAAAATGTTTTATTTGAGTTATAAATAATTTTCACATTGAAAATATGCTGAAGAAATACACCATTACGTGTAAATTAAGTTTGAATTTATAACCTAAATGTGAACATCTCAAATTGTGAAAAAGACTCTCTCTCTTTTCAAGGCTTAATTTTTTAAAACAATGGTATTATGGAACTTCAAATATAGTTATATGTTTAGGAAAATATTTGAAACAAAAAATTGTTAAGCAAAGAGTATTTTTCACAAACTAATTTTAATAATAAATAATAATAAAAATAAATTTTACGTGTTGCAACAGCATTTTTTTACAAGAAGATCACGAAGCAGATAGATATTAGATAACAGACAAATAGATATTAGACTTACTTTGAACCTCTTTGACTACTTATTGCTACGTTCAGTTTTAAAAGTGGTTATTTTTCAAGGTTGTTACAAAATTGCCAAAAATTGCATTATTCCCTGGCTTTTTTCCTTCCAAAATCAAATTTCTTTACAATTCGAGATTTTTCTAACCCAATCGGAAACTTCATTAATAATTGGCATTGATAAATTTCGTTTGGGTAACGAAACTATTGACCAATATAAATCGATTACATTGGAAAAATATCGTGGTCCTTTTACGCTATATCAGGACATTAAAATTTCGACAATGTCTAACAGTAGCAGTAGGAAACCGATTATCCGGAATCATCGGGACCATCGTTATTCCGGATAACTGATTTTTCCGGTTTTCTGAATCGCTACAAAAAGTCGTTTTTTTTTTATCGTTAACCCAACTTAAAAAAAAAATATTTGGAAATAATCTTGAAAAAACGAAGTAATACACTAATAATTATTTACAAAATGATGCTAGGGTAAACATCTTTCAAAAAAGAAAGAAAAATCCTAAAATCTTACGAGGAAAAAAAAAATTTTTTTTTAAAAATAGGGGGGAAAATTTATCGAATTTCGTTCCGGTTTTTTGGTTTTCCGGTTTTCTGATTTCCGGATAACGGGTTCTGTACTATATTTAAAAAGGGATCAGAAAGCTAATTTAGTGATAGAGTAGATAAATCAGAATCACCACGATGATTCCGATAAAGTTAACAAATTCGTGCAAAAACTTTTCTTGTTTCTTTTTCAATATTTTTTTATGTTCCATCGAAAGTTGGGGGGGGGGAGAGATTTGAGTTGAAATCTTCTTCATTCGAAATCTGAGACAGAATTTTTTTTTTTTTTTTTCCTCCCTAAAAATCTAAAAATTTATTGAAGACTCACCTTCTTGGTCGATAGTGAAAGGTTGATCTCGAGAGAGGATTTCGTATTTGCAGATGTCGCTGAATTTTGCAGAACAATCGTTGTCATCGGCTTCGACTTGCACAATTTTGTCGTATAGTCTGTCCTCGTCGGCTTCAGCGCTGTACGTCTCTTGGACGAACTCAGGCGCGTATTCATTCATGTCTTCCACTGTGAGGTGAACGGTAACACTGAAACAAGAAAAAGAAAAAAAAAGAATTGAGAGGGTTCCGAGAACAGTTGGAGTACCCATTTTTTTCTTTTGCATCAGCAGCCGATTGATACTGATAAAAATGAGAATCAGTTACTGATAAATATTGATTCAATAAAATATCAGTTACTAACTAATACTGATACTACTGAGTATCAGTTACTAACTCAAACTGATACAACTAAGTATTAGTCATTAATACTAATACAACTGAGTATTCGTCACTAATACTGTTACAACTGAGTATCAGTTACTAACTAAAAGAACTGAGAATCAGTTACTGCCTAATACAACTGAGTATCAGTTACTAACTAATACAACCGAGTATCAGTTACTAACTGATACTACGAAGTATCAGTTACTAACTAAAACTGATACAACTGAGTATTAGTTATTAATACTGATATAACTGAGTATTAGGGGCCGTTCAAAAAGTAAGTACATCCCGAAGGGGGGGGAGGGGATTTGCTATTCTGTACGGTTTTGTATAATGGGGAGGGAGGAGGTATTATACAAAGTACATACATTATAGGCATACACCAAATTTAAATTTGACTTCTTCCTACTCACGCCTTAAATAAATATTTAAATTTATTTAAAACATAATTATTTTAATTTTTATGACTAATAAAATGTACGTACTCTAAGGGGGGGGAGTAAGACCTTATGTACGGTAATGTACCAAAGGGGGGAGGGGGTTAAAATTTCTCCATTTTTGTGTACGTACTTTTTGAACGGCCCCTAGTCACTAATACTGATGCAACTGAGTATCAGTTACAAATACTGATACAACAGAGAATCAGTTACTAACTAATACTGATAAAACAGAGTATCAGTTACTAACTATTACAACTGAGTATCAGTTACTAACTAATACAACTGAGTATCAGTTACTAACTAATACTGATGCAAGTGCATATCAGTTACTGGTACAATTGAGTATCAATTATAAAAACCCGATAATTTTAGTATGATTATCAGTCTTAATCATATCAATCTTAAATTATAAAGGGGATGAAATATTACAAGGTAAAAATTCTAATGTTTTTCTGACAAAATTTTCGGTATTTAATTTGAATCAATTACAAAATCACAAATGTTTTGTTAAAAAAACACATTTAACATCGCTAGATTCACCTTAGATTCACGGACTGCCCTATATTTATATAAATAAGGCAAAGCTTTCATTCGCTTACAGACTTATCACTAATTGTCCCCCTTAAGTTAGATAGCTAAAATTTTGACCATAAGTTCTATATGAGATAAATAGGATAACTAAAAAAGTTTTATTTCGATAATTTACAGTTTACATAGGAGTAATTAGCCGAATTAACAGTATACTAAATAACACGATTTTACCAAGGCAGTAGTTATTTCAAGCGATATTAGTCCACGCGAATGATTGTGGCAACATTTGATAATTATTTAGCGCCAATCGCCGCTATATCGCCATGTTAACGTGAACCCTTATGTTAAGTTTTAAGTATCAATTTATCATTCGAATAGGTAGAATAATATTGAGCTTGTTTTTTAAAGAGAAAAAACGGGAAAAAATTAGAATAACTGGATGTACATATTTTTTACTTACTTCTCAGACATGAGGCCATCACACCCAACGGCAGCAATGTCAAATTTATAAGCTTTTCTTTTTTCACAATTTAGCGCTTTCTTGGCGACTAACTTGGCTTCACCCTTCGCCTTGTCCACAACCTGAACCATGAAAGGTATTTCACCATGGTGTTTATTTGTAATTGTGAAACTGCATACTTCACCTGAAAAAAAATTAATAAAATAGAAGCGTTAGAAAAAATAAACATTCTCGTCTGCACTGAATAAATAATAAAGTTGATGAAAATATGATTCACTGTCCCTTTAATGTTTTAAAAATACAGCCAGTGGCTACAGCATCGTATCAAAAATTAAAAAGAGGTAATCAATTTTTTTAAAGATACCAAAATATTTTATGTTGTTTTAGAACTAAATATAATCACTTAAATATCACCTTAAAATCGAGGAAGGCTACAATTTTACAACTTTTTTATTTAATTGCTTAAGAGAACGCTACAGCCTATTGTACAGCTGAATATATTATGTGAAACTATGAAAAGCCACAAAAAGGGAAGAAAGTGATAACAAAATAAGGAGGATTACGTGCGCAGTCAATCTTGATTTTTGTGAACACTTTAAGAAATTATTTATAGTTTTTTGTATTCACCCTTAAAATCAATAAAAAAAAATTTAATTTTTGCATATTTTTAAAACCCAAACTATGCAGCAATGTTGTAACTTATTAATAATTTTAAAAAATTGATAGCAAACGGTTTAATTCAAAAAATGTTCCTTTCCTTCACCAGGCTTGCCACTCAAATCTGAAAAAAAAAATTCCCTGTGTTTTCCCTGTACATATTATACACAATATTTTAACAGGAAAACCACAATCACAGTGCTCTTATATGAGCCGTATTGGGCAAACTATACTAGTTATAATTGCTGAAAAAACTTAGAGAAAAAAGGAACAACTGAACATACATAAAACAAATAATGCTATAGTAAATTAAATAGTATAATACAGCTTAAATATCATCTCTAAATATCCCATAGACTGCACTTTAAATTGTTACCATTTCTTAAAAGACGAAAATAAGAAACAAAATTCCCTGCATTTTTCCAGTTTCTAAAGAAAAACTCATAATTCCCTGCATTTTTCCTGTTCTCCCTGTGGAGTGGCAACCCTGCACATTGATAGTTTGCGCCATTTTTAAAATCTGTTCAAATGGAGCTAACTTAAAATGGACAAAACTTTAACCTAACAGTAGTCAACAATAAATATCAACAAATTCACATTAGTTTTTAGAATAGCAGTTATTTGCTAAAAAACGATGCTTCACGACCTACAGAGTATTGCCTTAATTAAGTATTTTTTTTAGCAACTATAAAGCTTTTGCAACAGGGCGACATAAAATCGCACGACATTAAATAGAACAAACTAACTGTCTTTAAACGATTCGGAAGACCATATGCATAGTTTGCCATTCCAACACACAGCTATTCAGAGAAAAACAAACAGAAATAGTTAAATGATGTCACGAAATGCATATTGTTTCTCGTCTTAATCCTTAAAATCAATCAAAAAGTCTAAATTTTTGAATATTTTTTTGAGAAAACTGTGCAGTGTTGAAGTAACATGTTTAAATATTAAAGAAATTTGATCACAAACGCTGTTCATTAGAGAAAGAAAAATTGTGACTTTTTTTTTATGTTGACATTCTGCACCATTTTTAAAATCAGCGTAATGGCGTTACCTAGAGATGGGCAAAATTTTAACCTTTTAGTAACGAATAACTATACGAAATCACAACGGAGAAGAATAAAATTTGATCACAAAAATAAAATAAAAATTGCTTTTCTTTATGTTGACGTTTTGCGCCATTTTCAAAATCAGCATTATGAGGCTGCCTAGAGATGGGCAAAATTTTAAATTTATAGTCACGAATAACTATTACGAAATCACAACAAAGAAGAAGAGAATTTGATCACAAACGCTGTTCACTAGAGGGGGGGGGAACGGTGGCTTTTCTTTATGTTGACGTTTTGCGCCATTTTCACAATCAGTATAACGAGGCTGCCGAGAGATGGCCAAAATTTTAACCTTATGGTCACGAATAACTATTACGAAATAACAACAGAGAAGAAGAGAATTTGATCACAAACGCTGTTCACTAGAGGGGGGGGGAAACGGTGGCTTTTCTTTATGTTGACGTTTTGCGCCATTTTCAAAATCTGCACAATGGCGCAGTGTAGAAATTGACAAAACTTTAGCCTTATAGTAAAGAATAACTCTTACGAAATCACAACNCGCAGTGTAGAAATTGACAAAACTTTAGCCTTATAGTAAAGAATAACTCTTACGAAATCACAACAGAGAAGATTAGTATTCATTCGCTAAAAAACGATATTTCACAAACTTCAAAGAATAGCTTCAATTGAGTATTTTAAAGTAACCAAATAACTTTTGTAGCAGAACGGCGTAAAATAGTGCAACACTAAATAGAACAAACTATTCTAACTCAGTCTTTAAGAGCATCGATCTTCCTCGGCTGTCCTTCGCCACTTTCAACCGGAAGACCATTTTCATGGTTTGCCATTTTCAAACACACAAGATATCCAGAGAAAGACAAACAGAGGCAGTTAGAGGGGACGCCACGAGATATCTTTAGCTTCTTGTCTTCTGGACCCTCTCGTTGAGGTGTGAAGAGCTAGATGAGACGTTGACGAATGGCGGAGTTCCGGCCCAACAGACGTCTAACGTCAAGATAGAAAGATGGATTAACTTGCACGGGGATTTTCTGGAAGATCTTTTCCCGAAGAAAATATTTCGTAGAAACTGAGACATGTTTCACTGGGCGAGGAATGGTACTTATCGTTGGATTTATAAAAGCCAGGTGACTTTTGCGAGAGAGTGTAAAGTCGATGAAATACGTTTGTCTTAAGAAACAATAGGATACTTTGTTGAAGCTGTTTTGTTAGCCATTTTTCAATGCTTGTAATGCCACTTCACAGCACAATACATTATTAATAAGTCGTATAAGATCTGAACTAGTATAGCTAGAAGAGGAATATTAAAATTAAACATAAATTTTCAAAATAGGCTTAAAAAACCTAACAAATCGTTTTCAGTTAAGTTTCGTTTCAGATATCGTTTTCAAATTGTTTCAAAATCATTTTCAGAAGCTTGAAGACAAAACTAGAAATTTAAGAAAGACTAAAAAGGGTACTTTATAGTAGAATGTGATGGTAAACGGATAGCTTATGTTTTAAATAGTCATTCTTACTAACTCGTAATGTCATTTTACAAAACCGCACGTTAAAATGTTAATAATAAACTTATGAAGCTTATAATAGAACGTCTTATAAGTATCTAACAACCCAATTTTACTGTTCAAGATTTAAAACTGAAGTTTTATATATAGATGAAATCCAGAATATAAAATGGGCCAAAAAAAAGAGCTTAGTAGACGAAGTTGGAAGATAATCTTAAGTTTTGATAGTCATTCTTATATGCACGTAAGGCCATTTCGCAACTCGGTATATTAGAACGTCTTATAAGTTTATTTATAGAATTTCTATCCGATTATCCTCGTTACATCCTATTTTAAAACTTCTATAAAAAATATTTCCGGATAAGGATAGCTACAAACACAACTATGGGGAATATATAGTTTAAAATAATCATATCTACAAAAAATATTATATACGTGAAGAAAATATTCATTGGTGTAAAAATAGAAAACATAATTTTATTAAACTAAAGTGAAAGCTAAATTTTGAAAAAATTTCAATAGTCTTAAGATGTGTTTGTCAACAGTTAATAAATTTTTCCAACACGTTTGAACTTGTTAATTGAAAGTAATACACGAATGCAGAACTCAGAATAAATATGGATGGTGTTTTCTACTTTACAACAGATGGCGTTGTTATTTCTCGGCGTTCATACTTCTATGTTACTGAATTATAACATAAAATCGAACGATTGCAATTTTCAACACTCTTTCTAGCTCCATTAACAAGAGGTAGAAAGCAAAACGAAAAACATTTGAAAAGCATTATGAGTGGCCAAACGCATTTAAAGTTTTGCTAAGATGTGTAATGAATGCTTTTTACGCAATCAGAATAAGAAAAGTTGTCCATGTACTATTGATAATAATAATATGTAAGATGAAGCACAAAAATAAATAAATTGCAGATTTTGACACCACTTTCTACATGCTGTGTATTTTAATGTCTCTAATTTGTTTCGCCATATTCTATTAAAAAAATAGAGAACTTACCATCAACGACTCGTATCCTTGGCGATACTTCCACATTTCTGCCGTTTTCTCGCGCGATTGCATGGTAGCCAACTTCAGGTTTCACATTTTCTAATCGGAGACGGCCACCTGAAAATAAAAACAAAGACATTAGCATGCTACTATGATATACCATTATTATTCAAATATATTACTAAACAATTTCCGTCGACTCTATATGCAAAGCTTGAAAATTTGGAGAAATTTATGTATATGTTATGGTCTATTTATCAGTAATGATTAATATGAGGGGAGCTTAACCCTGCCCCGCCCCAACAGGGGGCATCCAGGAAATAGTGAAATTTCGAAATGCGCGTCCCTGTCCCAACAGTACAAGAAGACAAATAAATTGTGATAAACAAAAACGGCCTGAAAGTGAAGTAATTCCGAGAGTGACCCTAGATTGCACGAATTTGATTAATAATCAAATATATCGGTTATTATTAATTAGCTGCCAATGAAGTTTGGCAAATATAATATGATGCTTTTTTTAAGGTTCAGGGCTTTCAATACCACTAAAAATTAAAAAAGTATTCTAATATAAATATTGCAATCCTATAGAAATAATTCAAAATTGCTAGCATTAAAACTAGAAAGAAGTTTTTAACTTCCTCTTCCACCATTTTGGTCGATCCGAATTTTGCAAGACGAAATATGCCAGCATTTCTAAACAGGTTCAAGCACGATCTTTCAAATCAAGCCAACAAGTTTTTCCATGTGAATCTTAGACAACATTTGCTGCTAAAAGAGTGATTGTTTGCATCTACAGCGCGAGAACGCGAGAATCTCGCATATTTTTTTCTTTTCTCGCATTAAAAAATGATTACCGCGAGGAATTCGCGCATTCTATAAACCAATTTCAAAATTCGCGAATTTCTCGCATTTTGAAAAAAATTTCTCATTGCGCCAATTAGAATGAAATCCGTTTCATTTTTCTTCCTGGATCTTTCATTATTTTCAACATCTGCCCCATTATCTAGCTTCCCTGTTTACCAGTATTGTTCAGAATCTTTAAGAACTATAGAACACCATCCCTCCGAACCTCTTTCAGAACGCATTTCTCTGCAACCACGTGTTTACTGTAGGTAAGGTTTCTTCATGTAAGACGTTCAAATTTTTTGAGCATTAATGCAAGATGGACAAATACCTTGTAAAGGCAATATCTTCTACTCCGAAACGGACAAATGAAAATGAAACAAATGNTGAGGGGAGCTTAACCCTGCCCCGCCCCAACAGGGGGCATCCAGGAAATAGTGAAATTTCGAAATGCGCGTCCCTGTCCCAACAGTACAAGAAGACAAATAAATTGTGATGAACAAAAACGGCCTGAAAGTGAAGTAATTCCGAGAGTGACCCTAGATTGCACGAATTTGATTAATAATCAAATATATCGGTTATTATTAATTAGCTGCCAATGAAGTTTGGCAAATATAATATGATGCTTTTTTTAAGGTTCAGGGCTTTCAATACCACTAAAAATTAAAAAAGTATTCTAATATAAATATTGCAATCCTATAGAAATAATTCAAAATTGCTAGCATTAAAACTAGAAAGAAGTTTTTAACTTCCTCTTCCACCATTTTGGTCGATCCGAATTTTGCAAGACGAAATATGCCAGCATTTCTAAACAGGTTCAAGCACGATCTTTCAAATTAAGCCAACAAGTTTTTCCATGTGAATCTTAGACAACATTTGCTGCTAAAAGAGAGATTGTTTGCATAGAATTAGCTTAGTAGTGTCTCCATATTTTTGTCTAACTGGAAAATCCGGACGAATTAGCAGTCAAGCAAACGTATTAAGTGGCCCAGATTCTTCTTCTGACTGTTACTAAATTTTAAAACTTTTAAAACTCGTCGTAAGTAAATACATATGTTATAATGGCCGGGGGAAAAGTGGAATTCACATATAAGTTGCTTAACACGTTGAATGCCATGGAGGTCACCGGTGACCGGCACTGAGTTTGTTCGTAGCGCCACGGACCGACGAAGCTAAGATTATTAGAAACACATAATTCAAGTACATTTTTAGCTTTTTTTATATTATTATCGTTACTAAAAGGGTATGAAAAAATAAATGCAATATAGAACACACAAAAATAGTATTATTTATCTACACAGAGATGCCAACTTGCTCCGGACAGCGAATAAATATTTTAAAGTGGTAGTTTAATTAATTGTGATTCTTGGTTTCATAAATTCAATTTAGATTTTTATCCACAACTATTCCTAAACAATTCGTAGGCTTATACAATTCACAACTTTCTTCAGATATGTCATGTTAAACCATTTAAAAAACTAGCAAAATCTGTCTAGTACTTGCAAATTTAGTTTGTAGTTATTTACCGTTTGGCCAGAAGGGCAAACCATGTAAAATTAGGGTGGCATTCAACGTGTTAAAATTAAGTGGTAGAAATAAAATGAAACTAGTTTGTTTTTATCTTTTTCAGGTAAGCAACAGCTCTGGTAAATGAATACTTTCCCCTTCTTAAAAAAAAAAGTCTATTTTAGATCAATGCCATTCTTTCGAGAAAACTGAACAAAAAGGTGCCAGCCATCAACCACCTACGCAGAAAAAAGAAAATATGTATAGGGTGGATAATATGATAAAACTGTCCTATAAGGTACGAGAAGCCCCACCAGCAAAACTCTTTCAAGATGCAAACCAAATACACATTTCATAGGGAGAGAAAAAAAACTACCTACACTGTATCGAGAAAAAGCGTCGAGACGATATAGCAGGTACAGCTGCTATGCAAACAGCTCCAACGGAACAAGACAAGATGGGCAGAATATGCTTTTCCTATCTCATCCAGGGGCTATTTGCCTTGAAAAAGTAAACAGAACCCGGACAAAACGACTTCAGACTAAGTTGCAGGAAGAAAAAAAGAAAAAAAAGAAGCCAACAGCATTTCGCTAGAACGTTTCTTTGCCATCAATCGATATTAATACTCTCTGGTATAAAGCCAACGGACCATGAAAACTCAACATTTCTTTTTATAACTTTTTTTGGGGGGGAAAAAAAGACAAGCCAACAATAAAAGGGCACTCGATGGATTCGAAAGGAGGGGAAAATGAAGGGAAAGAAGGGATTTTTGTTGAGTTTTTCTTCCCTGTCTTAACAAAGATTGTGGACGGCGATGCGGGTGTGTATGATATGCAAGGTTCCAAATTCGGGTTTTTCTTTTTATGTAAACGAAATGATGCGGAATTTCGGGGATAGATTTGTTTGCGTTTAATCGATCTAAGTTATTACAATGCGGGTTCAATGCATATGCAATTTGGATTTAAAGAAATTAGCCGCAGCAAAACTATTAAGTATTTCGATGACCGAAATATTAGATTCTCTAAGGTAATATAAATGGATTGAGTTATAGTTAAATGGATAAGTTAATTCAGTAACTTATTTAAGAAAATATCCATAAATGTTTTTGTTAAATGGTATCTTAATTGTTTTATAACTGATCTATTGTCAAAGGCTGGCCAACCCTAGAACCCTTATTGACAGCTTCACTCGCTCTGCAGACACAAAAATATGGCAATCTATAGTTTGTCTAAAGTAAGAATTCCCCAAGCCATTCGTCTGGACCCGCAGCGGTGACTATGGTAACGAGGTATAACTATTTCAAGTAGGATGTGGGGTCACTGTTTAGGAAAGTGTTTTGGTTCCGGTCGGCGAAAGAAAAGGAATTTTTTTTTTCGGTCTATTGTGTTAGCCCTAGAGTAAAGAAAAGCAACTCTCCCTGAAATGCACTATTCCGTTTCCATAGCAATAGACAGCCTCAGACTTTGTGGAGAGGAGAGTTCCTACCTACAATTCGGCATTAGGGGCCAATTACGTAAGCACGCTTTTGACAGTTTTGAATTCCCCCTTACATTTTGTCAGCAAAAATAAGCAAACTATTTACTCCCTCCCCCACGCTTATATCTAAGAAAGTCACACCACCTCCTCTTAACTTTTGGCTTCAATTGTGACTTTTTTTTTGCTAATTTTAAGAATTTTAGAAATAATTTTAAAAAAAATTTATAACTTTGTACAAACCAAAATTTAAAATGAACTTTCACCTACATGTAAAATTTTTTGGGCTTCTTTTAATTTTATTTTTTATTCATTCAAAAATAATCAAATCAATCTTTTTAAGAGCTTACGTAATAATTGTACGGTCCCTTTCTCGAATGGCAAACTTATACGTAACAAATTCTTAACCAGTAATACAATAGTTACAGTAACAAGTGATATTTTTCTTTAATACAAATGCATATTAAATTGACCGAGTGACTAGTTCTAGTCGTAAGTAAGCAATGACCTACTAGTTTTCTTTTGTTTTTGTCGCAAGACATAAGGGGTGTGATTGTTCGTTTTCCAGTGGCGCCATCTATTGCCGAGAATTCAACTTCTGCCACACCCACACGTCACGACCGTTTTAAAGGGAGGATGCATTCATACGTCCATTCATTCATCCACAGATCATAATTTTGATCCAAACCAGAGAACGATCTATCTCCAATCCAGTACTCCCAGAAGTTAAAATTTTTATGGGAACATGGAGATTCATTAAGGTGCGAAATATTCAAAATTTTTAAGTGTGAAAAATTCAAAGTTTTAGTTTTATGTGAGAATTATTTTCTCCAGAGAATGTTGTTTGTTAAATCAAAGCTAAAAATTCGTTAAATGAGAGCATTTTAATATCCTTATTGTCAGGACAGAGAAAATACTAGTTAAATCGGAGAATTCGTTAAATCAAAGTATGTGTAAAATCAAGATTCCACTGTATGTTAAAGTGAATATTAAAAAAAATACAGTGAATTTAAATGAATAAATAAATTTAGAGAATACGGAAAAAAATCTCGGAATCAAAAATCCAAGCAGGAGAACATCCCTTCAATCAACTGCTAGGTCTCAGACAAACGGGACTAATGTTAACATCGAATCCTGAATTAAAGTATCTACTAAAAATAACTTCTGTTCATTTTTCGGAGAGTGTACTTATAAGAACGTTTTTATAAAAAGCAAACGATTAATTTTTATTAACAGCTACTAAAGAAGACAAAACAAACAATAATTCAAATTAATAGTTAAGGGCTTAATGGATTAGGAAATAAAAAGAATCACAGTTATTCATTGCATATTTCCTAAATAAAACAAACAAAACCGTTGAACAAACAATTTTCTTTGGATGCTTTTTACCCACCATTATTTCCACTCTTTTGGTGTTCTTTTGTTAAATCTGATATTTTCTCCAGCTTTTTTACCATTACTTTTGAAAAATTGCAGAGTAAGAAAAGGATGGTGAAACGAAAGAAGGAAGGGAAAAAAAAAGGTTGCTTATTGCAGCTTTTGACAGACAGAAGGTATTAATGCACTTCTTGTTTATGCCCCAAAAAAAAGAAAAGAAAAAAATTCACATTGGAAATCTTACAACGCGAAATCACGTAGAAGAAAAAAAATCGCCTCCCGATCTGCTTTGCTTTGTCCACGTGGGAAGAGGTGTAGAAAAAAAAAATATCTTTTTCATTTTTCTTTCTTTTAGTGACACTTCGAATATTGTAACTTTAAATTGTTGACTCCAAAAATAAAAAAATTCCGCTTCTTGATAAAAGCTTGAGAAAGAAAAAATATTTCGGAATAAAATGTTAAAACAAAACAAAGGCACCCGAAAAAAAATGTATCGGGAAGTTTGAAATAAATTTAAAAAAAATCACATTTCACCGGAAATTGCTTCCGAAAAAACCTTCCCTTGACTTTAACTGTAACTACCAGTCTTATTCTTTTCAAAGAATCCGGTGGCAATTGCTTTGTTACCACGAAACAAATAGAATATAGGTGTAAAAAGGAAAGAACAGAACTAATCAAATCGATTTTTGCATTAGATTTTTTTTATCCCTTTTCAAAATTACAATTTTTTTTTATTTCCTTCTTTAGTGTTGTTTAAACGGCTATTTTCAGATGTGAAAAGTCATTAGTTTAAATAGCTCAAGCCCGGAACTTTTTCCCCTGTTTATGGGATTTTTCGCAGAAGTCTTTACAAAAAGCGTCCCTTCGAGGGAAAAAAAAAGGAACTTTCCATTTTATCTTAATCAATTTAGTCTGGAATTTTCCCCAGAGAATTCAGCTTCATTAAGATTTGATACAACACTAAAGTAAGAAGCATTTATAGCTAATTTTGGAATAAAATTGCTAATGAAAGATTGCTTAGTAAGGAACTGTATTAATTTATGGAATAGTTAAATAAAATGCGATGCAGTTTTATTAAAAGCTTTGATTGCCCAGTTAGCTTAGATGGCATTTAATCAGCGAGTAATTGAGAACCTTTTCAATTTGCAGAACTAAATAAACTTAAATGACACAGTTACTTCTCATCGCCATCTAACATCCTAAGAAATCGCACATTTTACGAACATGCAATAATTCATTTCCATTTAGTTCGCAACAAATCGTAGAAGCTAATGGTAAGCTTATTGCAATCGCAGGAAACTTTTTTGTACATTTAAGTTTATTGGTCATTAGCTTCGGATTGGATTTCTGTAAGAATGTTTCGAATTCAAGCTGACATAATGCCGTATACGTAAATGCTAACTTACTAAGCTTTATGGGCACTTTTTTTTAATGGCGGTATATAAGAATTTGAAATATGGGACATTCAGTTATTATTATCAGTTATTCTTAAATTCAATGTTTTATAACTAAAAACACTTGTGACCGGTGAAAATTATTAGGGATCAAACTGGCAAAATTCACAAACATCCCAATGTCATTTAAAATAAATAAAAACGCTAACATATCTATTCTCTGAAATCTACTGTCGTCTGCTGTGGCAGAAGGCCACGTAAATTTGACCCGATCAGACGATGTGGGCGGCGCCTGAGCTGGTATCCCTCTCTCCAAATTTTTCCACCACAACCAACGAAAATACGTTTACAAAGTCGAAATTTTTGATGGTTTCTCTGTGATGGACCAAGACATGATGTTAAACATCAATAATTCCATCATGAACCATTATACTTCTGATGGTAACCAACATAAATAACAATCACCCCAAAGTAGGCATTGGGACTGATTTATGATGGTCCAACATAAGAATAGTTACTTGTTTTGATGGTTTGTTCATTTTAAACCATCAGAAATTTCCATCATAGTATCTTAGGAATCAAATGTTGAAACGACCATGAACCACCATCACCCCAATGTAGGAATTCCGACTCATTTTTAATGGGCCATCATGAAAAAATAAAATTGTTTTTATGGTATTTTCCTGAGAACCATCAAGAATTCCCATTAA